ATATATATATATTGGTTGTAGGGTTCTAAAGATTACATCCCAAATTTTGGTGCGTAAAAAAAGGTATTTGGTAGTGTAATTTTTGACCCAGTCGAACAAATGCACAGTATATTCTTTGGCTGGGATAAAATAAGAAATAGGACAAAGAAAAAGTTCATTTCACATGTGACTTAGATTAAATTAAAAATTTATCACTTGGTCAGCACTACATTTAATAAACCAAAAGATTTGTGTTCCCTATATAACATATACTAGTTTTACTGTTACAATTAAGGAAAAGTATACAATGAGAATGCTTATCTTTGGTACAAGATGGTCACAATTAAATTTGATTATTGGATTGACTGCATTTATTCTCTTGACTAAGCTCAAACTTCAAATTTTTTTTTTTTCGAACTTTACGACATACTCAAACTATTAGATTTCTCTAAGTAAATGTGACATCAAAAATAAATAGTCTCATTAAATATAATCCCTACAATTAAAACCCTAATTAGACGTATCACTAGAGTTTAAACTATGAGAATTTAACCTACTCAATCAGCTACCAATTCATAGGTCTGTGCATTTGCTAGATGAAAATAACATCCCAAGACATGATCCGAATTTTAAATAAGGGAAATTTGTTATATTACAGTTAAGGTATTAACAATTTGACATTCCATCCATATGTTTTAGTTTAATTTCAAAATACCCACCAAAACACAGAAAAAAAAGAAAAGTTATAAAATATAAATAGTTGAAAAATGAGATATATTTTTGATAAATTTTCCTTTAAATAATTATATATAAGTGTTTGCGTACTCAAAATCTTATTTTTTTCCAAAAGTACTTATCAACCGTTCTAAAATAAGAGATTTAAAAAATCTCCTTAAGTTGGTCTTTTGCTCTGGGAAGTAGAGGTACAATGTGATCTATGGGAGCACACTGTGTGCCTCACAATTTGAAGGGAAAGAATCTGGTTGATGAGAAGCAGACAAGAAAAGGCAAGCAAAAGGAATCAACTCGTGGTAAACACAATTTACGTCGACGAAAGTACCCCTTGAACATTTCTTGAATGCATAACGCATCCTTTTCAAATTATGAAGTAGTAGTACACTTTTCTTTCTCAATGTAGTGGTCTACACTAATGTTGTCGTTTGGAGTCTTTAATAGTTTTAATAGTTTAGGGAGAAAAATAAAGTAATTTGGTGTTTCGAAAGATTCAATAAACAACGATTATGAATTTTTTTAAAAAATAATTAATATAAATAAATTAAATATTTATATATAAATATATTAAATCATATAAAAAATTAAAACTAAAAAAAATAAAAAATTTATATAGCCATTTCTTTGCTAGCCGAAGCATACCCAAATATGGTCGAAGCAGTCCGAATCTGACTGAACCAACGGCACTAAGTTTTGCTTCACTTCGATTTATTCCTAAAATCCAAAAGCTCGGCCTCTTTGGCGGAAGCGAAAAGAATTTGATAAAATCAGTCTACACTTGTAAATTGCCACTCATAAATTTATGCTATCTCAAATCATCATCATAGCCTTCTCTATGATTTTCTTTTGAATTATTTTTGCCTCATACAAATGTGGTTTTTTTTATTAAAGTTTTTAAAACAAAAAGTTTTAGAGAAATTTCTCTTATAACTACAATTAAATATTTTCAAACAAATATCTACGAATAGTAATCTATAGAGGTCAGCTTGTATGCATATTGTTCTTACGTGCTGTTGCACTGAGAAATCGGCATGTTACAAATTTAGATTATTCTTTTTGACCTTTCTTCTCATATCTCACCAAAAAAGTACTTGTGAGTTGTGACACTTAAAATTCCACCTCCCCATCTTTAAATAATCTACAAAAGCATCATGGAAAATATCTATTGAGATTTTCATTTTTAACTCTCGTAGCTCTATCAAGTTGTGACATTTGTATCTATTTACTTTGTGAGCATAAATAAATATTTCTATAAAGAAATTAGATACCAAAGAGACCTAAGTCTTAAAACAATTCAAAATTTATTTTTTTTCTCTTTTAAAAAGAGTCATCAAATTCTTAAATAACTCCCAAAAGGAAAATAGTTTCATGTGGGCTGAACTGTAATTCTATAATATGCGGTTCAGAGGTATAAAGCATCCAATTTAAAAATGGATGTAAATAGGTGGTCTATCTAAAAACAAATGTAACTAACGGTCAAAATGTTTTTTTAATATAATTATTATTTTTAATTTTTAATTTTATTTTGTTTTCATACTCATGATCTCCATGCTAAAGATTATATATTCTTTAAAAATTAGGATAGAAACCGTTTGCTTCCTAAAAATCCGGATAAAAGAATATTCCCAAATTAGTCTTGTGTCTATTGGAGTAAGTGCATAGTACACTCGTGGAGGAGCATAGTATACTCTCCCATGACATTGACACGACTTCTTGTGGGGATACCATATCGTTTTCGTTGTCAAACTTTATGCAAGATATGAAAAGGTGGTCCCATTCTTTAGGTTCGGACATATGGAGGTTTGGGATTAGGTGTATCACTAATCCACCCTTTAAAATCCATTTTGCAAATAGATATCTAGTCCAAATTTTTGGAGGTGTTATCACCTTAAACATCGCTGAATTTTCAAAGAGGGAAAAAAAAAGGAAGAAAAATAAAGTAAGAAATGAATTTTAAGTCTTACAAATGGTCTATTTTGTTCATTTTAGTTCTTCAAAGTTCATTATGAATTAATTTGAAGTTTCAAATTCATTGATCTAAAGTGAAAATGGATCTTATAGTTATCTCAAATACGAGAAACCTTTTCTTTAGCAAAAAGGAGCAGGAGCATATTATTCGTTTACTCCCTTGAGTACCCCAATATGTAACATCTTCGTCAATCTAGTGACCAGTCTTAAACAAAAAAAAAAAAAAAAAAAAAAAAAAGAAAAGAAAAGAAAAGGGCTACTCCATGTATACCTAAAAAAAATATCGTTCTAACACTCAACAAAGACGATTATGCTATAACTTAAGGGGAAAGGTTTCTATACTTCTCCTACAGCATAGAAGATCTATGCTTCCCCTACCATCTAGCCATCCAATTTTGATTAAGAGAGCCACTCACCGTTTGAAGTTAGATCCGATGTCTCAAAGTATTTTATTTTTAGTGTTTTTTATAAAAATTTTATGATTATGAAATTTGGTACATGCCTTTTTCTCATTGGAGTACAACTATAAAAAATATTAAAAATAAATTTTTGATAACATATAATGACCAAAATACCCCTTGAATATTTCAGGGGTATTTTAGTCATTTTATTTTATTGAAAATATATTTTTTATATTTTTTGCTAATGCAAGTTTAATAGAAGATTGGATGTCCAAAATTTGATATCAAAATAGTTTATAAAAAAAAAATTTAAAATAAAATAGTGTGGAGACATGACATTGTGATTGGGGCAATCTTAGCCCTGCATTCAGAATGGATGGTTGGATAAGGGAAAGCATATAAGTTTTATACAGTAGGAGAAGCATAGAATACTTGCCCTAACTTAAGAGCATGTAAATTTAGTTTTTTAAATACACATTTGATAAATTTTAGGTGGATCCCAAAAATATCATAGCGTCTAAGTAGTTCCTTTGGCAAAGGGAACACGTGTATAATGTGATCACAGTGCAGGTCATGTTCATCATTATCATTATCATCAAAGTTTTTTTTCAACTATTTGAGATCGGCTGTAGGAATCTTGGTCCGCTATTTTGCTCTATCAAGGGCCATACCCTCAGTGAGTCCATAAATCCCCATATTTTTTCTTACTACTTTCAACCGTTTCCTTTAGACCTACCGCTTGTCCTTATTGAGCCTTACACTTGAACCAACTTGCACCTCCTAACAGTTGTTATATTGGGTCTCGTTACATATGGTTAGCTTACCTAAGTCTAATTTATCTCATCTTATCGCCTATTGGAGGTCCACGAAAGTTATCTCAAATGTATTCATTTCGAATTTTATCCGCTCTTGTCTTGCCACTCATTCATCTCAACATCCTCATCTCGTACTGCAGGCTCAGTTGTAGACCCAATATTGAAATGAAAAATATAGGTTATAAAAAAGGGTACAGTTTGTATAGGGCCTAGGCTCTAACCAATCAAATTAGAGCCTACCTTCAAATAGTGTCCAAAAATGTGGTTTCATTACTGTAATTTTTTGTGATAGCCTTAAAGTATATTTTTCTATTTATTTATAAAGCTCAAAGCTTAAAAAATAGTGTAGATCGATAGATCTATGAAAATTTGAAAATCTTGAAAATTGACCGTCTAAAAATGCGTTATAAAAAACACTATTTCCAAAACTTGAAATCCATTTTTTTCTCATGTCCATGCATCTTGATGTCGAGATGATCAATTTGAAGATCTTTGAGCATCAAAACAAACCTCTTCTAGTGAACTTTTGGAGGTAGGTCCAAATTTGATTGTTTAAAGGTAGAGGTAGGCTCTATATGAACTTTTCCCAAGGAAAAGTATCCACGAGAGATGCAATACTTAGTATACAAATCGCACCCTTTAGTATTTTACACTTTTGAAAGTGCGGGTGTTTCAAAATTAAGTCAATCAGTAAGGGTGAGGCCCTAAACAGTCAAATTAAGGCATACATCCAAAATTTACTAGAAGAGGTTTTTTGATGTCCAAAAATCCTCAAATCGATCATCTCGACCTCAAGATGTATGGCCATGAGAAAAAATGAATTCAAGTCTTGGAAATAATGCATCCTGTAATGTATTTTATGGACCATCAAATTTTTAAGAGTTCCAAGTATTCATAGATCTATTTGATCTACACTATTTTTAAAAGCTTTAGATGAAAACAAATTTTCAGGCCATCACAACTATTTCCAATACTAAAATGACATTTTTTGTTTAGGGTCTCAGCCTTATACAAACCACACACAATTTAACCACACACAATTTTAAATAGCTCATCTCACATAGGTATTTTAGTTTCCACGGTATTTTCAGTTTTGGATTGCTTCTTGTTTCTTTTTTTTCTTTTTTCTTTTCAATCTCTTGCTTCAACTTTTTTTTCCTTTCTCATCTTACATTGGACCATCTCTCTCTACGTTTTCTTTTCCTTTTTTGCTTTGCCTCTTGTTTGATGACTGAATTTTTCGATCCTGATTGATGATCAAGTTTTTCGTTGCTCGATCATGTTTAATGATTGAGTTTTCCGTTACTCAATCCTATTGGATGATGAAGTTTTTCGTTATTCCATCATGTGTGATGATCGAGTTCTTTTCATAACTCGATCCTATCTGATCCGGAAGCCTGTTGATTTATTGTTATGTGAGACTACTCTGTTCGAGGTGTCGGTTTTTTATGATCGCTAATTTGCAGCTGCTCAAGCTTCTTCTGTTCTTGATTTGTTTCTAAGGCATGCTTTCAGTTGTTCAAACTCAAGTTTGACGGGGGGTGTGGAAATTATAGAAACCTACACCTATTTTTTCATACAATATTTTTCTTCTTTTTATGCGTACCTATATTAGGAAGGTGCTTCATTGCATATGTTATTTTCTTTAGTAGTCTACAATTTTGTAACCCTATAAATTGGAACTCTTGTTCATATCTTTAATTAACTTTGAAACACATCTTCCATCCGAGGTTAAAGCCCAAATATATAGAAATGCTGTTTGTCACGGGTACTTTCGTGGTTTCAACACCCAACATCAAACCAGCATATCCTTTGCAAGCCCTTGCAACAGTGTTATTTTAAGATTTTACGTTCCAAAAAGGCATCTATAATGACAAATGCTATCAACCTAGTATGACTTAATGTATTAGAAGTTCTTAAAGCATCATAGCAAACATAATCCGTTGAAAGTAATATTTAAAAAATTGTCGATCCCGATTGGAATCAATCAATCCAGATTGGAAAGAACCATCCTATCAGAATCTATTCCTGTAATATATCGGGAACTGGTTGTATCACCCTTAGAATCAGTGATTCCACTGTAGTGGATCACTGATTCGCTTAAGTGGAATTAATGATTCCACTTTTCAACCACAACCAATGCACTTTGTTCACTGGTTTTCATTGTTCCGTCAATTTTATATCCACACACGATACTTTTCGGAGAATTATTGCTGTCAAATTAATGAAAAATAGTTATAAAGTCTATACTCAATTAATTATGAGTAACAATATGAGATTTGTGTATTGAAAATGGGGTTTTTTGAAAGTTTTGTAGAAATCCGCCTTTTTTGAGATAGCATCGATTTATAGCCAAATTTTCTGAAAAGGTATTTTTATTTGAAGATAATTGAATCCTACATAGTATTCTCCTTCAATTTTGTTCGATTAAGCAACAATTCCCCATTGATTTTGCTTCCAAAGGCAAAAGAAACTGAAAAGTTGCTAAATTTTAACAGTCAACCAAAATTGATGATGTGCAGATTTGGGTTATTTTGATCCAATTTCAGAGGGTTTATGATCTACAGAGATTCAGCTATGATATGAATGTACCACATGTTTTAGGGTTCCGCCGTCCTAATATTTTCCTCCACAAATTTGAATCAAATTTCTTGAAATTTGATTAAGAATGATCATAGTGAACCTGTATTCCTAATTACAAATCCAATACAATCGATAAAAATCGAAACGAGCATGGATTTTGAGCCATTACTGCGGACTAGTTTTTGGGGATTTTGAGAACTTGTGTTTTGAAAATTAATAATTTTTTAATAAAATTTGGGGCATATGATGCATATAGATTTATTGATTCATATGGTGTGTGTTGCTTTTTTTATTTTGATATCGTTATTTAATATTGATTCATAAGGGGTTTTATAAATCTTATACTATGGAAGGGTTTTTTTAATAATTTTTTAATCATTTGGATGCAATATTATAAAAGTAAAATATAATTAATAATTACACCTACACCCAAACAAGGAAACAACATTTTAGTAATCATATATTTTTATAAATAATGAAAGTACATAATGAACCACCACCAATTTTAAAAAAAAAAACTTAAAAAATACTACTTTTGTAAAGTTCTAGTGATTTTTTGAGGCTAAAACTAACCGATCTAATCGATTCTCCGATCCACATACATAGTTTATGGGGTTCCGATCTGTTTTTTTAACCTTTATTGAAAGCAACAAATTACACACTCACATCTGCCAAATACGAAATAGGCGAACAAGGCAGATAAGAAAAATTCAATCAAATGAACCACATCTGTGCAACAAACAACTTATACAAGGAGACTATTCTCAAACAGGACATCACTGAAGCATTAAGGAGTTAAATTATGTTCGACAAATTGCACTTGGGGTTCTAACACGCACACATACTTATCAAGCATAAAAACCACAACTACAAACAGTACTAAACCATGTATAACAATCGTAAGAACAACAGTGAGGCATCCCCAACTTCAAAGTTAAAAGGTAAACGAGAACATGCTCGTCAAAGTTCACTTGTGCAATTCATCTTTGTTAATTGTCTAACATCATCATAGTTTTTTTTTAATTAATTAGGATCGGCTACATTAATTTTGATCCGTCATTCTGCTCTATTAAACGCCATATCCTTAGTGAACATCTTGATCAATATTTCTTTATTTGATGGTGGTGACGTCCTTATGTTCGAATCTTGTAAGCTCCTATAATAATCATCACCGAAACCGTACCATCCGCGACATGACTCAGCATTGCTAGTTGATGAACTAGTCATTTTTTTCACCTACAAGAACACAAGAAGTCATGTTTATAAGCAAAACGTTAATGGTTTCTTATCTAGAACAACAACAAATACACTTAATTAAGTATAGCAGACATTGAGTATTCAAGAACATGCATGATTCTACTTGTCACAACTGCCACTTTATATAGAAACCCAATCAGGAAATGTGCTTGGGTCAAGATGGTAGAGGCTAAATTTTTATAACTCAACATCTTAAGTTTCATTCCTATGTAACCTTGTCAAAAAAAAAAAACAAAAAAAAAAAAAAAAACCCGAATTACACCACATATACAAGATTATACTCGCCCAATCATACACCACATATAGTGTAAATCAAACACATATCCTATGTAAGAAACAAATATACGAGATATGTGGAACAAGTAATATCACAATAGAGGTGGCAATGGACCCGGACTCAACCCCGGAACCTGAGGGGGTAGATCTGATCCAAGTCTGGATATCGATCCAAAAATGGGACCCCGGCGGATCGGATCCGGGTCCAAATCTTAGAGACCTAAACAATATTCTGGTCCAGGTGTGCATTTTATCAAGGCAATAATCTCTTTTTCGGTATCTCAAAAATGGGACCCCGGCGGATCGGATCCGAGTCCAAATCTTAAACCTCAACACTATTCGGGTCCGGGTGTAGGCAATAATCTCATTTTCGGTATCCAAAGTAGGCTGTTTTTATCCATATTCTTTTACCCTGTCCTCTTTCATGGACTTCTGGTTGCATGTTAATGATTAGTTGTATACCCTGTCCGTTGCATTGTTTGTTTCAGTATGATAGCGATTTGTCTTTGGGGCTTCTATTCCATTTTCTGAGTTTCGGAATGGAAAAGGCGGCACCTTTGTTTTCTTTGAATGCATATACTGATTTTTTCTGTATTTCTTTTACTGCAAGCGTTGCTTCAGTGGATAGGGAATGATAATTGATTCATAGAAACTTTCTTTCTCCCCCTTTCTTTCTCACTCTCTTTTTTTAGAGAAGATAATGGATGAAAATTGGTTCTTTTCTGGTTGCACTAGATTTTTCTTGGTAGTTGCTGATTTTTTTTAAAAAAGAGCAAATTTATGTATAAGTTTCTTGTTGATTGGAGATTTTAATACAGGTTTTTATAGTACATGTACAAGTTGTTTGTTGAATTGGAGATTTAAATACAGTTTTTTATCTTTTATTTTCATAAGAATTGCTTTTTTATATGGCCATACTCATTCCACTATAGATATGGGGCAACAATGGATCATTTAGCATTGAATTTTGAACTATATTGACACTATGCCTTTTTAATGGAAATATCTGACAATTAGGTTTTCTGGAAGCTCTTTTATTGTTTGCTAGAATTGATGTCACGTTACCCATGTAACTAAATTTGATTCCTTGCTGCATTTAGGAAAAAATTATGCAGTTCAATCAACTGTTGGCTTTTTAGTACTGGGATAGTGGAAACTTTACATCGTGTGGTTTCAACATGTAAGGAAACCAATTAGTCCCATGTCTAGTTAGCTCCTACTTGCTTGAAGGCAGCACCATTATCATGTCCCATAGAATTGTAGAAAATTGAATTCGGGCAATCTGGTTTTAGACTAACGGCTTGAATTTTCAAATATGATGTTTCATACTTTTTTCATAGACCTTTGAATTTAAATATCAAGGTGTGAACAGATTCTTTTGTTTACGGATTACTTTCTTTACCAATTTCAAAAGAACAGAGGTGTCGATCGATGAAAAGGAGCAAACTGAAGTAGTTACAATACCAAATGGAGAATCAAATATAGTATAAGAATGCTATATCCCCAACCCCAAATTGACTTGAATTTTATGGCGGACTAGGACTCAGCATCCAAAACTTTATAACTGGGATATCACATAGTCCGGAAAGTAATGAAGATATCTTGAATTTCCTCAAAGGCATCCTCTGAACTTCCCGAGTTAGGACTTGTCCTGCTTCCCCTGCAAATCACTATCAGTGGATCTGTGAAAGACCAAGAGACAGAATGTGAGGATATTTGTTATCCAACCAAGGTGAGCTTTGGTCCTAACTTCCAAAGAAGCCATTGGTCCTGATCAAGCCAGGACACCACACAAACATCATCCAAAATCAGACCCTCCATGAAATCAGAGGTTTACCTGAGATAGAGTCAGGGGTTAAAGCCTGAATGAAGAACAGGGGCATCACTGTGATGATTGCAATCCATATAAGAAGTATGTGCTCCCAAGAAAGGTTCCCAAAGATGTTAATATATTGGATATATTTAATAGATTGGAAATATTGGCCACTTGGCCAACATTAATAGCACTGCCTTGCCTGCACCAATATATGGCTGTTATGTAATGGTAAACCACAAAGTCAAAATCCCCCATATTGTTAAGTATTTGTAGTGTTCATTATGTATCAATGTGATGGCTGATATATCAATTTTCTCAATGTATGAAACAAGCGAGCTATATGAACACCATTATATTTGTTTGTGCCTGGAAAATCCATTATAAATCCATTGTTTCTTGGAGATATTAATAAATAAAAATTACGCTATAATTTTATGCGGTATAAAGTTTCTTATGTCCAATATTTTCCAAATATCGGTCATTACACTGGTACATTCTGAAAAATTATCATTATTTTCCAATTTTAATCTTCGAATACCATAAACTATTGGTTTAGGTCGAATACAATTAGAACCTGAATGCTGATCTGCTGAACATCGCTCCCAAGTGCCACAAACTGGGCCAACTGTTGAAGGTCTTTTGGAAGTGGAAAATCAAATGAGCAAGTTGATCTTGAGGTCTCCTTTGGGAGGGAACCACATCTGAAGATAGTACTTAATTCTGTCAACCAATTCTCCATTCTCTCTCATTTTTTTCTCCTCAGATTAGCTTCCAAGACATAATATTGAACTCAATTTTCTTTCTTACCACCAGTATCTTTTCACCCTCCTCTTAAGATGCGATGATATTACCCCTTGAAATTCATTGCCAGATTGCCAACAAGGTAGAGAACTATAGAGAAAATTCGCCCACATGACCATACCTTCCTTTCTAAATTTGTTCGTATTGTTGCTCCAATCCACATTCCCTCTAACAAGTGACAATCCACATAGCCAGTTTCTATCCCCCCTAACCCAAATGATCGCCTCATTTCCCTCTCTAGTCTTATTTTTGGTTGTTTAGTGCTATTATATTTAGGATTGGGCATTTGCGGGCCTGGAGGGAACTTGTGTATGACCAAAGAGTTTGAAGGGTTGGCTGTCTTTAAGGCAATTCACAATGGGCTCTCAGATGGCCTGAATTTCTTTGATTCTATGGAGCTAGAAATAACTATTTGAGAATTTTCTATTATTGAATTGTCAGAGAAATTAACCTTGTGTATTTTTATTATGTAGTATGGTGGCATACAGTCTAGCAAATTTGGACATACCTAGAATAGAATACGACATTTGGATATTTTTTTGTGAATAGGGGTACCATACTTCCATTTTGTATTTTCACCGCACTTTAGTTTTGTTTATTAGAGTTATTTACCTATAAAGAAGAAGATTACTCATAGATGATATAAAGTGGATGTATGGCTATTGGTTAATACCTTTAGACTTAGGGTTGGGTATGGAACTCAAGGATTTCTTTGGGTAATATCTGCAATTTATATGTGAAATTTTCAAGCTTAGCTATGCATGCATGTGTCATGCATGCGTGGCTGCATGTATGTGCCTGTACACACGTGTGGGCATGTATTCTATCCCATTTAATAGGTATGGACTGTATTTCATAATTTTAGGTTTTGCTTCTGTTTAGTAGATATACGATCAAACATTTGAAAATTTTATTCTTCGCTAATTTTTCACTTTAAAAGTTTTTTTGTTTGCATGTTCAATATCATTTCTACTACTTTTTACTTACATTGTACAGTATTTGATGACTGGGTATATATGATTTGGGTTCTCTTGATGTTTAGGTGACTTTCACATCAGAGTTTTGCTTGAGTAACACTGGAAGGATGCCATCTAAGTACCCAGTTCTTGGCAATCGGCCACTTGAACAATGGAAAGTGACAGAATTGAAAGATGAACTTCGGAGACGTAATATCATAACTAAGGGTTTAAAGGAGGATTTACTGAAGCGGTTGTCGGAAGCAATTCTAAATGATGAGAACTGTTCAGGAAAATGTGGGCGATGGCTTGGATACTGAAGTTGTTCCTCAGGTTCAGCAGAATGATGAGGAGCTGACAGATTTGGGAAATGCACAGTATATCAACCAGGTGAAAATGAAGCTAAAAAGAACACTATTGAGTGCATCATAGGTGATACTGAAACTAAGGATAAGGATACCACAATGGTTGACAATGATAACAGCAATGCCATTCCCAATCAAGGGGTTGAAGCTCAAGATTGTGAATTGACTGATTCTATGAAAATTGAGACCTCTGAATTTATGGTTACATTTCCAACAGGTTCTACAGAAGTCAGCATTTCGGTCAGTCATAGCCCTGTTAAACAGATAGAATCCGTTGAGAAACAGTCTAGTCATGAAAGTCTGAAAGAAGACAAGGCATCAAAGAGTCCCAACAAAAGCGAGGAGCCCAACCTTGTAAACCGGATAGAGTCCATTGACAAAGAGTGCAAGCATGAACGTGTGATAGAAGGTGAGGCATCCAGGTGTCGTATCAAAAGTGAGGAGCCCAACCTTTGCAACCCAAATTCTCAGGTATCTGAAACGGGTCCCAACAAAAGTGAGGTGCCCAACCTTGTAAACCAGATAGAGTCCACTGACAAACAGTGTAAGCATAAACCTGTGATAGAAGATGAGGCATTCCGGAGTCCTATCAAAAGCGAGGAGCCCAACCTTTTCAACCCAAATTCTCAGGTATCTGAAAAGTTCAGCCCTATTTCAGGGGTTCTGCTAAAGTGTGATTCTGTTTCTAGCGATTCTGTGTCAATTAATGAAAATGAAAAGAATGAACTAAAGGATAATTTGAATGCTGATAATTTACATTTAGAATTAGAAGTTAGTAATCCAGAGGGGGCCTACAAATCATCCACTGAAGTACCTCCAGTTGGTGGTTCTTTGGATGGTCAAGAGCCAGGTGTGTATCAGCGCTCTATGGAGATTGATGAGACCCTTGCTGCTAGTACCCATGCAGACCTTATCAAGAAAGTTGATAGTGCAGATGGTGGTTCTTCTAAAAAACTGAATTTAGATAGAAGTTCGGGGGATGAATCACTGGAGGATGATGGATTAGAGAGTAAACAAAGTGATGTTATTTAAAATACTGTTGAAGTCAGAGACAAGGATGGAGTATCAAAATTGTGTCCAATAAAAGAGGACATTGCTGTTGTTGCTGCTGTGGCTGATTCCTCTCCAAATGAGAAGAATGTTATTGTAGACAGAAGCAATGACTCAGTGAATATTGGGGAGAAAAGAAAAATTGAAGGTGGTATGTACTATTGCATTGTCTTGTTTGCATGCATACTTAGTTTTCTTTCTGTGATTTGGATCTATTTATTGCTTGTACTATTTGAATAAGTTAGCTTGAATTGTGTAATAAGTCACCATGATGTTGGAGTAATGCTCTTAGGTTTCTAGGTCAAGTAAACAGTTGTGGTCCAAGGCTGCCAAAATTTTGCAAAAGCACATTTACAATCTTGCTTTTTCTCAGTAACATGAAAAGTTGCCTATGAATTATATAAAAAAGTATGTATAGTTTTCCTCTTTGGAATAATCTAATGTTCTCAACTCTCCTATACAGTTCTACAATAGTGGGAAGTTTTTGTTTCATAGATTTGGGTACATGGAATGTAAGTGATAATTAGTGTATTTCCCAATAATAGTAATTTGTATGTAGTGGGTGTAGTGTTACTATGCTGCACCTTGTGGTTTTTCACCGAAGAGATCTTTGAAATTGCCTTCATGCTATCCTGCACCTCGTGGTTTTTCACCAAAGAGATCTTTGAAATTGCCTTCATGCTATCCTGCACCTTGTGGTTTTTCACCAAAGAGATCTTTGAAATTGTCTTCATGTGCATGATGCAAGGGTATTGAGGCAATAAACCTTTGTACAAGTTTTTATGCAAGCCCTTGATAAATATTTGGAAACCGTAAAGTTTTACACAACTTCCGCATGTTAACCAATAAAAACTAAAAGCTACATAGTTACATATACTGTCATTTAGATGTCTTTCCGTTGGTACTTTGGTCCTTTTCTCATCAGTGTAAATTTCTTTATGGCCTGTTCCCCAAGTTTACTCTAGTTGCAAGTTGCAACAGACCATATGTCATGCCGCTTCATAATATTTCTGGGTATAAGGCGTTCAACTTATACCAGGGAGAAAGAAAAACTTCCCTCTTTGAAAGCCAAGTGCTTATTGGAAGTGTCTAACTTTCCCTTTTATTATATTTACCCTTATTGTACTATTAAAAGGCTGAAAGAGGTAGTTCATTGTGAAATATGACTTCTAACATTTCCATGATTTTGAGTTTTTCCTTTCTTGTTTTCAAGAAAAATTGCTATTTTTATTTTCTGAGAGTATTAAAATAATTGCTACTTTACATGTTTTATTATTGATTTTTCCCCTTTTATTATGTGCAGATCAGGAGGCACCCAGGGTCAATGACCCTTCAAAGAGGCAGCGTAGGTGGAACTCGGAGCCACTCAGGGTATCCGAATCTCAAATTCTCTTCGTTCTGCTCCTCCCCTTAGTAATTCTTTTTCTGTGCCTAGAGATAGATTTTCATCCTTGCCTAAGACCACGCTCAGTAATCGCGACTCTCCCGATGATGGAGGTGCCCCTAAAGATCGCATTGGTAAGCTTCATTTTGTTCTTCTTCCTCTTCTTCTTCTGGTTGTGCAAGTTGGGCTTGCAATAGTTCTTTTCCCCTTGCTTTTTTAAAGTGGGTAAATTGGTTCTTAGACTTGACTTTACCATGCTTTTGATTTGTTTGAGTGGGTGGTATGGTAGTAGTTTCAAGAATTACTGTATTATACTTGGAATCATGCAACATACAAGTCATGCGAAATGCAAATATCTTTTTAAGAAAATGTGAAATGCAAGTTGGGAAATAGAGCTTACAGATAAGCATTTGGGTATGCATGCCATGAACACAGTAGAAGCCCAGGAAGATTTACAAACTTCTTTTGAACTTTCTGTGGGACAAGTTTCTTTTATTTGTAGGTTGTTAAATGAGTAACTAGTGTGGATTCTTCTATTTTCTTTGAAAAAAAAGGAAGAAAAAGAAAAAGAAAACTAAAGTGGGTTCTTAAAATTTTGTTATGCAGTTCCTCCATCGGAAAAGCCTGCAACTACTTCTTTGAGGATTGACCAATTCCTGCGTCCATTCACTCTAAAAGCTGTTCAAGAGCTTCTGGCAAAAACTGGGATTGTCTCTAAATTCTGATGGACCACATCAAGACCCACTGTTATGTCACTGTATGTCTTTTTATACATAAATACTCTCTCTCTCTCTCTCTCAAACACGCACTCTCTCCCTCAGCCATAAATTATTAAATATCATATGCTTGGTGATTGAAAAGAATAATAGTAACAAAAAAAAACGATAAGGAAAATGCCCTTTCAGGTTTCCAATTCAGCTGCTTTTCTCTAAATAGCTTTCATGGGCTATAGTGAATCCTTTTCATATTATTTTGTCATTTTTTAAGGGAAAATGATTAAAATACACCTAACTTATCAACTATTTAAATCAAACGAAATAGTTCATCATCATCATCTAAATTTATCTCAACTATTTAAGGTTGTCCCAACTATTTAGGATTGGCTACATGAATCATGTTCTGCCATTTTGCTCATATGTTCAAGATTCATGATAGGATTTGGCAAAGTTTTGTGCTGGCTCCCTACCTAACACAACACTCCTCCTTTACCTGGGCTTGGGATCGGCTTAGGACCAGCCAAGGCAGAATTATGTAAAATCAAAAGAAAGAGGTACAATATTAAATAGTTCATCTCTTGATAAATTTCCCTTTTTTTAATTATGTGTTTTTATTGTAGTATTCATCAGGGGAGGAAGCAATGGCAAGTCGAAATGCTCTCTACAGTCTACAGTAGCTTTCTAATGGTGGCTGCTATATATATATATATATATATATATATATATATTTGTTAATCCTGAACAGATTAAGGTCAAATTGAAACTCAAAGGGGATGTTACTTTTGTGGGCTGCTTTTCTATTTTATGGATGGGAAATAACATTTAGAGATGAGATATATGTTTGGTCTGTACAGCGATGAGATTCCTTGTTGTTTTAACCTTGTATTTAGGGTCTAGAGGAGAGTGCACCATCGTTATAAACTTAATTTGGCTATTATACCTCAAGAAGTTTGTCTTTGCCTTTCTGCCAGGCTTGTTTCTATTACTCTACTAAGAGATTAGGAGCTTTCATGTAGAAGACCTTTGGGTTTTTGTATGTGGATGACTATGGAAGTTGTAGTTTGGAGTAAATGATGTCATCTTATGTTGCAGGTTTAATTACAATGCCTATGAAAAGAAAAAGAACTAATCTAATCGGAAATGTTTTGTAATTCTATAATAGGAAAAGTTTGTATTAAGGATGAGGCCTTAAATAATCAAATTGCGCACCTCAGAATTCACTAGAAGAGGTGGTTTTGATGCCAAAAAATCCTCAAATTGTTTTCTGAAAAAAAATGGATTTGAAGTCTTGGAAATAGTGTATCTTTGCCAAAATGATAAAAAAAAAACATTTAAAAACACATTACAAACAAATTTCTTAATTTTTAGCTGGGTTCACATTTGACCAGCTGGGTCCGAGTTGAACCGGCCAAGTGTGCGACCACTGCTTTTAAGGTTTCATATGATTAGCAATAAAAGGTACCTTATGCAATTACTGTTTCAATTGGATTTATGCACTCCAAAGTAGACATATAACTTATGCAATTACTGTAGAGAGAGAGAGAGAGAGAGAGAGAGAAAGAGAGATTACAGAACTCCATTAACTCTTAGAGAAGTGGTATAAACAGGAGCTCCCATTGAAAATGAGAGACAAAATTACACAATGAATCAATCACGGCCGCTAATCTATCTATAATCGTGTCATTCCTCGATCGCTAATAAATATACCAATTAGAACCACAGAAAATTAGTTAAATGCAAGACAAACAGACAGACACAGTTAATAAGGAGCCCTTCAAAAACGCCAGCCATGACAAACCCAAAACTTGGCTTGCCAACGTGGCACCCTCTAACACAGGTGGACTAACTGGAATGATGATGTGTCAATTACCCAAAGGCGAGCTCCAATCCTGGACCCACCTCTCAACATTCATGGGCTGAGGGTCGGCGACTTGTTGGAACTCAGGGTCCCAGTATTGTTGATGTGGCAAGTTACATGGCAGCTGAGTCACCTGCTGATGTGGATTCAGGTCGCCCTCCATATCAAACAAGTCGGGAAGGTGCTGATTCGGCAACTGTGGGCCCCACCTACCCTCGACCACATGCTGACTCATCTGTTGATATGGCAGTACAGAAACCTGCCACGTGCATGGAAAGCCCTCGCGTGTGGGCGCCAGATACAGGCCATACCTGGCTAATAAATCGCCTAGATCAGCCTGAAAATCTCCTGAAATGGCCGGAAAAGTAGCCGGAGAAACACCTAGAGTTGCCGGAAAAGTGTCGAGACATGGAGTCCCCGGAAAATTGTCGATAAACTGGCCTAAACCAGCCTCATGTTTTGGAGCAAATTTGATCCCATTCCCAAGTTCTGGAGTCGCCGAAAAAGCGGCTGCGAAATCGCTTGCAATTTCCTGAGAATTCGCGGATAATTTTCCCCCATTCTCAACCTTCAATATCTCTTCTGTCACACTATGTTTCCCCATCTCTAAAAACTGATCGCGTTCTGTGATCTTGTGCAGGAAGACATCGATATGACCAGAGAGCTTCTGAAGGTCATCGATAGATAATTCATCAATTCTGTGATGGCCAGAGAGTCCATAAACCATCGCTCCCAATTTAGCCTCCATGTTTTCCTCTCTCTTTTTATCAATCTGTTGCTTTAAACTCTGTATTTTCTCCGACAAGAAGTGAGAGCAATCCTGGAGTTTCTTTTCTCTCTCGGATTTGTCGAGACCGAGATATCTTTCGCAGAGCGAGAGACAGTAATTTGTGTCTTGAGGCGAAATATCCGGAACACAGGAAGATGAGGCGTCTGAGAAAGATATGATGCAAGCATCAATTCCACACAGTACTGAGAGTTCGTGTAATTTCTTCTGTAAACCATTTCTTCGTTTGACATAGTTGGACGAGTTATGGATTTGAATATCCTTAGCCTTTCTTTTGGTTGGCATTCTTTCGTATCCCTTCCTCTTTCTGGACCTGCAATATTTCAATCAACTGTTAATAGATTCAACTCTCTCTCTCTCTCTCTCTCTCTATAACCGTTTAACCCTTCACCTCTTCCCTCTCAATTTATATCGTTTATGGTTCCGTATTTCTCAAGATTTTCTACGATCATTATGATGAATAATCTTCTCTTTAATTAAGAGAAAAATCTCCAAAAATTTATCTTTTAGTAACCATTGAGCAAAAATACGGGTAAGATATTCCAACGAAAAACTACGATTTAAGCAGAACAAAAATTTGTCTTTCCTAATCTTTCACGAGCATAAATTTCGGTGTTGTGGCATCGGATTCTCTCACTTTCCTCTTTCGCTTGGGCAAGTGTCCCTGCTCTGTCTCAAAACAAATATATTAGGGTGAACGGGTTCTAGTGTTTAAAACAAGGAGAATGGCTAAAATTATAATTCAACCGTTGAAAATTCTTTACATCAATCATTTCCACTTGAACGTTATCGTTGTGAAAAAAAGAAAAAAAAAAAAAGATTTTAAGCTATAAAAATAATGTATACCGTAACAAATTATCTAAACCATCCAATTCGCCCTTAAAAGTAAATATTTACAGATCAGCAACCTCTGTACTATTTTTTTAATTTCAAATTTTATTATTGATGTTGAAAATTAATTTTAAAACCATTAAAATTTCTTTGATGAAAATGCTTTCTGGGTGAAGATTTGAGGTGAGGTTTTACTGTCTTATAATCTCTATTTTGCACAAAAGTCCGGATTACTATCTTATATAAACTTTTTACTACCTTTTTTTCTTTATATTCTCTATTTTGCACAAAATTCCATTAGATCTCTCTCGCACACAGAATTCATTCTTCTTAGATCGTTCTCCCTCTCTGAACAAATGGTTTCAAAATTGGTTGTCATTTCAAAACTCAACCTTCGAAATCTTAGAGCGAGAAAGAGAGAGTACCTCAACGAATTATCTAGTTCCCAAGCAGTAAATAAAAAACCCAGAGCGATGGTTCCGAGCAATCCAAAAACCCGAAGTACAGGTAGAGATAACAGATTGATAAATGGAAGAAACGCAAAATAATTGAGCTTGTATCAATTTCCTATTTATCAAACATGGAAAAATCATAGAAGATTGACAAAAATTATGCAAAATTTTAATACATAGAAAGAGCTTATTGTGTTTCGTGCAGAAAGGGAAAACAACCACCAAATCCACTTGGGTTGTAATTGGGGCAGGGGGTTAGAGAGAGCCTTGAAGGAAAAAAAAAGGGCTATCATTTCAAAATTTTAGAGCAAGAAAGAGAAATTACCTTAAACTGATATGCAATTAAGAAGAAGCAGTAGCCACAAAAAGCGTAGAGAGATGTTAAAAAAAAAAGCAGAGAGATTTAGTATTATAAGTTTAGTGAATGGAAGTGAAGGTAGGGATATAGATTTATAAATGGAATAAACACGAGACGAGGTAATTGAGTTTGTATCGATTTAGAGAGAGAAAAAGGAGAGAGAATCCTATCGATTTAGAGAGAAACAAGCTTGTAACGAGAGAATTTTATGAGTTTACGAGATGTCACATCAGCGTTAGAATATCGTAACAGGGGTTTTTAATTCTCCCTGTCAATGCTTTTTGGAAACTTTAAAGAAGTGGTAAAATTTATGCATAATTAAAAATCTTGTGCTTTAGGGATTTAGTAAAAAAAATTGTTTCGTGCAGGTGGAAACGCATTTCTAGGTCCAGAAAGTGTAAATCATCCATCTTAAAGATGGATGCAAGTAGGCATTCTATCTAAAAATAATAAAAATTAACGGTCCAAATGTTTTCTTATTAGAATTATTATATCTAGTTGTAAAAATTTACTTATTTTTTTATATTCATGATCTCCATGTTAGAGATTACATGTCTTTAAAAATTACGTTTTTAAAATCCATCTCAAAAATAGATTTATTAAGAGGCCTCCATTTCTACATATGTGGACTTAGCCGCATAGAAACGGGTCCATTTAGTAATCCACCAAAAATATTACATTGCCATGCCCAAAATAGGAGTGGAACTATTGCATATTTACGTAGCCCAAAAATACCCTACTGCTCATTTACTCCCTCGGGTAAAACCCCACTTGGAATTAATTTTAGGATCCGAAATTTTGGGGATGTAACATTTTCAACTCATTGATTGACTACACTAAAAAAAATCCCTAATTGTACTCTCTATACACTTGAAAAAAATAGGGAAATTATCAGAAATATACCTTAATTTTTGTCTAATCAAAGAAAAAAAAAAACTCACTTTTATAAACCTCCTCCATACTTTTTTTCTCAATTTTAGCATTTTTTTTTATCAAACTAGCATTCACGATCGTCGTATTACTGTGAAGGCTCTATCATTACGGTATTTTAAGTAATGTAATGCGGTAGTCATTACGGTAATATGACTACTGTGAAAGCTATTTTGGTAAAAAAAAAAAGTCAAAATTAAGAAAAAAAGGGTGTGGATGAAGCTTTTGAAAGTTGAAGGTTTTTTTTTTCAATTAGATGAAAATTAAAGTATATTTCTTATAATTTTTCCAAAACATAATGTCTCTTGAGATTGAATAGAGACCTATAATTTTTAGATGGTGAAATCTAAGTAACTCAAATTTCAGATTTTTTTTTTTTTAAAAAAAAATGAGTAAGATGCCACATCAGCATTAAAAATATTACAATTTGGAGCTTTTTATTCTCTATATGAACGCTTTTGGAAACTTTAAGGAAATGGAAAAATTTATGCCTTTTAGGAGTTGTAAATCTTTTTTTTTAAACTTGTGCAAGTACGTAATGACATTTTTTATTTTTATTTTCCTCCCTTCCTCCCTCTCCCTTCCCTTAATAAGAGCCTATTGTGTTTCTTGCAAATAGGGAAAACAACTACCAAATCTACTTGGGTTATTCTTAGAGAGAATTGGGAGAGGGGTTAGAGAGAGAGAGTTTGGAAGGAGAGAGAGAGAGCTATAATTTCAAAATTTAGAGAAATTATCTTAAATTGTTATCCAATTAAGAAGAAGAAGCAGAAGCCATAAAAAACGCAGATATATATTAAAAAAAAACTCAAAGAGATTGTAGTACTATAGGTTTAGTGAATGGAAGTGAAGGTCGAGATACATATTTATAAATGGAATAAACAAAGGACGAGATAATTGAGTATGTATCGATTTAGAGAGAAAGAGGAATGAGAGAATCCTATCAATTTAGAGACAAAAATAAACTTGTATCGATTTAGTGAGAGAAAGAGGTAAGAGAGAGAATCTTGAGTTTGCAAGATGCCACATCAACGTTAGAATATCGTAACAGGGATTTTTTATTCTCTGTAATTGCTTTTTGGAAACTTTAAAGAAGTGGAAAAATTTATACATAATAAAAAATCTTGTCTTTAGAGATTTAGTAAAGAAAATTGTTTCATGCAAGTGGAAACACATTTCTACATATACGTTCCAGAAAGTGTAAAGCATCCATCTTAAAGACGGATGCAAGTAGGTGTTTTATCTAAAAACAATGGAAACTAACGGTCCAAATGTTTTCTTATTAGAATTATTATATCTTGTTTTAAAAATTTACTTATTTTTTCATATTCATGATCTAGTGTTAGAGATTACGTGTCCTTAAAAAATACTTTTTTAAATCCCTCTCAAAAATAGATTTATTAAGAGGCTCGCATTTCTACATATGTGGGCTTGGTCGCCTAGAAACCAGGTCCATTTAGTAATCCACCGAAAATATTACATTGCCATGCCCAAAATAGGAGTGGCACTATTGCATATTTATGTAGCCCAAAGTACCCTACTTTTCATTTACTCACCGGAGTAAAACCCCATCTGGAATTAATTTTAGGATCCGAAATTTTGGGGATGTAACATTTTCAACTCATTGATTGACTACACTAAAAAAAAATCCTAATTGTACCCTCTATACGCTTGAAAAAAATAGGGAAATTATCAGAAATATACTTTTTAAAAAAAAAAAACTCACTTTTATAAACCTCATCCATACCATTTTTTCTCAATTTTAGCATTTTTTTTAATCAAAATAGCATTTACGATAGCCGTATTATTGTGAAGGCTCTATCATTATGGTACTTTAAGTAATGTAATGCGATAGTCATTACGGTAATATACTACCGTGAAAGCTATTTTGGTAAAAAAAAAAAATGTCAAAATTGAGGAAAAATGGTGTGGATGAAGTTTTTGAAAGTTGAAGGTTTTTTTTTATTAAATGAAAATTAAAATATATTTCTTATAATTCCCCAAAAAATAATGTCTCTTGAGATTGAATAGAGACCTACAATTTTTAGATGGTGAAATCTAAGTATTTGAAAACTCAAATTTCAGAATTTTGATATTTTTAAAAGAGAAATGAGCTTGTATCAATTTAGAGAAAGTCATAAGTTTGCAAGATGCCACGATAACGTTAAGAATATTGCAATGTGGAGTTTTTAATTCTCTATATGATCGCTTTTAGAAACTTTAAGGAAATGGCAAAATTTATGCCTCTTATGATTGGTAAAAAAAATCTTTTAAACTTGTGCAAGTAGGTAACGACTTTTTTTTGTGCAAACAAGCACTCGAATTTATGTGGGAACTAAGTCGAAGAGGGTATGAAGGAGAGAGAATTATATGGGTACTAAGTCGAGGAGCGTATGAAAGAGAGAGAAGTAGGTACTAAGTCAAGGAGGGTATGAATGAGAGAGAAGCATCTATTTTAGATGTCGTGGGGATGCTCTGGGTAGGTCTACCTCCCCCTTGGTTCGGATTCAGAGTGCTGAATGGGAGCAGCTTAATATTAAGTTTGAGGTCTTTGTGATAGATTTCTTTTTTTTCCTCCTATCTCTGAGTTTTTTGGCCTCTCTGATTGGGCACAGAGGGGTTGGAATCTTCCGTTTCGTCTTGATGTGAAGGTTATTGGTATGAACAAAATTGTTTTCAAACTTCGATATAAGGAAGAGGCCAGTAGAGCTCTACGAAACAATTTTTGTAGAATCAGGGAAGTCTACTTTTATTAGATTTATGGAAGCCTGCCGATCATGTTTCCTTTGTTTAGAAAGAATTTATTTGGATTGGTCTCTGTGGTATCCCACTGTACGCTTGGAACTGGGCCATCATAAAAAAGATAGTGGATGGACTTGGATATGGATTGGGATTCTTTTTTGAACCTAGTAGGTAAGATGGTGCAGGTTAAAATTTCGAAAGCTAAAGGTTTTCCTCTCCCTGAAAAAATTTGTCTGGTTATTAGCAAGGATTTGTCTAGTTATTGGTGAGGAGTTTTTCGACAGTGTGATTAGTGATGTTTGCTCTAGGGTGGCACCTGTTGGTGGTAAGCCTGTTGTCGCTTTGCAGCAGGACATCAGGACCGACATAAGGTGCAGATGCCGGAGTTAAGGAAATCACCGGAGATTGGGAAATTGTAGGTTGGTGGGACATTGAGATCTCGCCGGAATTTTTCTTGAAAATTTGAATTTCAAAAAACAGTAACCCCCAAAGTTTCAAAAAGATGGATTCCTATGGGTAGATTTCCAAATCATACGGAGGGTTGTTCGATTTCTACGCGTAAGCCCCAAGATTTAATTAAGGGAGATAATGGTGGTATGTAGTTTCTAAGAATATAGATGGTTTGAAAGAGGTTGTGAAAATCCCCAAGGATTGGATTTTGGATGACTTTTCAAGGATTCAATTTGGTGGCTTCTTGATTTGGGGACTGGTAATCGCACCGGACCACCTCTTTCTCCAAATATTGATTACCTGAAAGTTTCTCTCAAGGCGGCGGGTTGCTGTCCCGAGATTTCCTCGGGAAGGAAAAGCCTTCCATGTCGGTTGAATCTGTGTAGGGAAGATATTCCTGGTAGCTGCTTTTATCCTTCCTGATTCGCCTGTGTTTGGAAAATCTGGTGATTAAAAAAGGGGAAGCTCTTTCCTAATCTCTCTTTCCTCTTCGGTGGTGTCACTAGTGTATCTTCTTGCCCATCAGAAAGTTGTTGGCCATGCTTGGTGTCTTATACTAATTTTAAGCCTTTTCACCTCCAAAATGCATCCCTTATTGTTTTGCCTGGCTGCAGCCAAGAAAAGTCGCTCACGTCTCGACCCTCTTCTAATTGATCCCTTGGCTATCGTGGTTGTGGAGCCAGAGGAACGCTAGTTACTTCTGGAGAATGTAGATACAATGATGGAGGCATTGGAGATGGCTATGCCTGAGATACAAGTGGTTGTCTCCCATGATGCTAGGCCGGAGGAGCCTCGGTTACTTCTGAAGAATGTAGGTACAGTGACAGAGGCTTTGGATATGGTTGTGCCTGAGATGCAAGTGCTAGTCTCCCCTAATGCTGGGTTGTTGGGCGTTGATCATCCTCATGCAATCGAAGCCTCTCTATCCATTTAAGGCCCTATAGATGATTATGATAGAAATATGCATGAAAGATGTCCCTCTTGCTATGGTGATGGACGAAATTAGGAAGCGTCGTAAAACCAAAGTTCTGGTGGAG